TTTCATCGATGCCAGTCAGGAGGACCAACGCAGCTGGATGACCTACATAAAGTGTGCCCGGAACGAACAAGAGCAAAACCTGGAGGTGGTGCAGATCAGCAGCAGCATATTCTATAAGGCTGTGGAGGTGAAAACTTAAGCTATCATTTCTTACCAGAAGGCAGGGAACGCACCTTTTAGGTGCAGAATAACTTGAAGCTAAATGAATATGATGAAAACCCTGCTTTCATTTGAGTTTTTAAGCACTTTCAGTGAAAACAACATTGGTTCATTTTGGGTCTCTCTCATTTTCAATACAATAAGCATGTTTCTAGCAGCAGCTTACAAAAATAATAAGCCTATTGTGGAATTGCGCAGCCTGACTTTGGGATGTTATTGGCCAACCAAAATTAAATGTCCTTCAGAACAGCCCCGCCTGCTGGTCAAAATGAGAATGGAATCTGTGGTATCTATAGTGAAGCTGAATACGAGCACTAAAGCAGCAACTAGATGAAATCATACTGATTAACTGATCTTTGCTCTTTTTGTCCCTTATTTAGACCATCCCACCAGACCAGGAGCTTCTTGTCTGGTATGGAAACACCCACAACACATTCTTGGGAATCCCTGGAGTTCCTGGAACAGATGAAGATCACCAGAAGAAAACCAGGAATGGTGAGTCATTTTAGGGATACAAGGGCTCTTGGTTAATTTTTTTAATATGTCGGAAGTTTTTCTGTGTGCCTCTGGGGAGCATCCCCCATCTGAGACAAACCTAAACTGAGAAAACTTCAACTCATGTCCCTCCCTTTTCTTCTCCTAGATGACTCCCATTCATGTGACGGCCTTTCCTCGTGCTCCCCCCCTTCTTCCATCACTACCGCGGGCCGCATGCGCTGCGTCATTTGCCACCGTGGCTTCAACTCCCGCAGCAACCTGCGCTCCCACATGCGCATACATACTCTGGACAAGCCCTTCGTCTGTCGCTTCTGCAACCGCCGCTTCAGCCAGTCGTCCACGCT